TTTTTTTTACTATCACTTCAATCGCAGCCTTATAAAAAAAAATTCTTTTTTTAATTTACTTTTGTTTCATATTCATGACGAGTTTTTCCAGTTAATGATAAAAGAATTTTTAATTCATCATTTTCTTTCTTTAATTCTTTTAATCGACGATGAATTTCTCGCATTTCATAGGATAGATGCATAAGTTCATCTTGTTGTTTAACGTTTTCTTCATTTTTTTTACAGATTTCTTCTTGTAAATTTTCAATTTCAGAATTTGCATTTGCTAAATATTGTAAATCAAAAATATTCTTTTATGATTATTTTTTTTAATAATTCTAAATTAATTTACCTAAAGCATGAGCAAAATGATCAACAATGGCTTGTTCTTGATGTTCCAAATTTTCGGATTCAAGTTTCAATTGCACGCTCTATTTAAATCAAAAAAAAAAAGAAACAAATAAAATAAATCAACCAATGATATTTCATCACTTACTTCAGTACGCAATTCTCGATTTTCATATTCAAGATTACGAATTTTTTGTTCGTAATGTTGACAATCTATTTGTCTAAATTAATAAAATCGAATTGATTTCAAATCATGTAAATATTTGGTTTTTTTTTTACTTGGATTCATTTGGTGACATATCAAGGTCCATATCGTAATAAAATCGAATAAGACGTTCTTTAAGAAGTAAGTCATGTTTAAGTTGTTTAACAATTTCTGTTGTTTGGTCAATATCTTGTTCCAGTAATGCAACTTGATTACGTAATGAATCATTACTTGAAAGTAATGTATAACCTAAACTGACAGCCGTTTGTAGATCATTCTCGCGCTCTTCAAGCATGCGAGTTACAGCATTCATATCATGATATGTTTTTGTCATTTGATTCATTCGATCAGTAGATAAAACTAAATGATAGAAAAGGTAAAATTTATTTTAGATTTTTTTTTTGTGAACTATTTAATTTAAAAACTAAAGACTAAACATAAAATTACCATGAACATGTTTTCGATGTAAAAACCAAATAACTATAAGCAGAGCTTTTTTTAAAATTTTTATTCGAAACAATAAGCAGAAGCAAGTAGAAAAATATTCTTCGCTTTTTTTTCTGTTTCTTACCGTAATAATCTAAAATAGCACGAATTTGTGTGTCTGTTAAAGATTCAAATTCAGAACCGTCAATACGTGGTGTTTGAATAAAATTCTCGTGTGAACAAGCAAAATCAGTATCAGCACGTAAACGATAACGTGGAATTAATTCTTGAACAAGACTAACGACTTCAACTTCCGCTAAATTTGATTGTGTATGAATGTCTAAATAGAATTAATGAAAGAAAAAACAACAAAAAAAAAAAAAAGAGGAAATTTATTTTCATTATAATCATTCTAACAAATCATATTTACCAATCATCATCAAAAATAATCAATCGATCTCTCGTTATTTTCAATTTATATCAAAAAAGAAAATAGAAAAAAGATTGTGTTTATGATTGCTATAACTTATTCTCATCCATTGTATATATGAAATGTTCAAAAGAAAAAGAAAAGAATGGTACTTAAGAGACCATCCATAAACGATGTTGTGATGAACTGAAGGTGTAGCTCTACTACTGACCTCAATAATGAAGTTTATTGAACTGCTTCATGACTCCAGCTGTATCTATATCAGTTCAAAAACACTCATATATATTAGTCACATAAGTGAAAGAGAAAAAGAAACACATATTGTCAAGGTCAACACTATGAAAAGATGTTATATGAAAGAAACAAATGAAGTGTAACGGTCATTTCTGTTACAGACATTTACTTTTCTGCCTTCCGTTCACCTGGACGTCCTTTATTGATGGTCCATAAATAGAAGTGAACAAAGACAAAAGTCAAGTATACGTAACGATTTAAGAAAATAAAAAACGTTTATATCGACATCATTATTATTATATGACTGTATATTTAAATATTTAAATCAACTAATAACAAAGTCTGTGAGAAGAAAAGAAAGAGACGTAGGTAATCAACATTAGATTGAAGAGCATTTTCTGTTTTCTTTTTTGATCGATGAATATGATGAAAAGGAGAATATGTAAATATAATATCCTTGTACTTTGATATTATACACAATAGATATTGACAGAATATATATGTGCACACTTCTATTACGCAAAATATCACAAAAAAAAATCGATTTCAGTGTTACTATAAAAAAGTTTAAGCTTACATTAATTAGGAAAATTCTTTTCTTTTTCTATCCTTGACCGAGATAATTTTACTTGAACAATTATGAACCAAAAAAAAAAAAGTAATTTGACTCTTACCCGTTAGGACTTCGCAATCGACGGTCGAAGGACCTTTGATAGGTGTTGTCGCATGGGACATAAAAACGGAAGGTAAACAAGACAAAGACACGCACACCACCGGAACACAAGAGGTAAATCAACGTTTGTAAATACGATGGTTAAGTAGATGCAAAAGAGAAAGAAAACAATGTAATACATTAATGTTTTTACATCTAGAATATAGAGACAAAGAGAACACTTAAATCAATTTTATATACAAACAAAAAGAAGGTGTCAGTATGATATCGATAGCCGTATATCAATGACATTTTCTTATCTATCCTAATCAACACAAGAACCGATTCTATACATCTTATATAGGGCAGTCATTATATGTTTTTGCTCTATTGTTTCCATTTGTTAATGTATAATGATTATATTATTTACATAAGTGACATTTTTGTAGAACAAAAATAAGACAAAGAGAAAGACACACTTCAATTCAACCATGCCTCATGGCATTTAAATCATCGAATCTAAAAAAAAAAGAAGTATGTCAACCTTTAAGACAACAGCAAAATATTTCATACGTAAAAGTTCATTCCTACAGAAAGTCAGCGGGAATATATTCTATCAACGTCAATCATACTGTGAGAATTTAAAAGTAATCATGAATATAAATAAAAAATGTTGCTCATTACGGGTATTCACTAAGAGAAATATAATGGTGACTGCAAATAGATGTATTCCATAGAAAATAAAAGTTCCATTTAGGAAAATATGAACAAAAAAAAAATATAAAGTTCTAAAAAAAGATATCTCAAGGCCATTAACAGCTGATCCAATATAAGAAAAAAACACATTGACACCAATAGGGATAAATAAACAATGATTGAGAAAATCGTTTGTTCGTTCGTTTCAGAAAAAGGAACATCAGGGAAAACCAATCAAATTTAAGCGCTAACTGATATAATCAACATTGATGTCTCATATAGGCTAGCGACAGTTCACTAAGGATGAATGGATTTTCTTTACATTCTTATATACATTTACTTTTTATATAACAACTATGACAACATCATCAAAATCAAATCCAAAAGCTTTACAATTAATTCAAGAATATGCACAACGTTTACGTTTTAATACACTAGCAGATTATGATCCGATATTATCTGCTATAGGTGATGCTCAAGTGGTCATGATTGGTGAAGCATCTCATGGTATATTTCAAAAAACTAGATGAAAAGAGAAAATGATAATTGTCATATATTGAGATTTTTAGGTTCACATGAATTTTATTTTCATCGAGCCGAAATAACAAAACGATTAATACAAGAAAAAGTATGAACAATTTTCTTCAATATAAAATGATATATATATATATCTAATTCAAATTAAAAAGGGTTTTACAATTGTTGCTTGTGAAGCTGATTGGCCACCAGCTTATAGAGTAAATCGATGGGTTAAAGGAATTTCTTTATCAACAATTGAAGATGCAGATGATGCTTTAAAAGATTTTACAAGATTTCCATCATGGATGTGGTTTGTTATTATCTTTATCGTTTATTTTTAATTCAATTTTAAGTATTATCGATTTCTAGGCGAAATACCGTCATAGTAGACTTTATAACATGGCTTCGAAAATACAATGATCAATTAGATGAACAAAAGAAAAAAATAGGCTTTTTTGGCATTGATTTGTATAGTTTACAATCATCACGTGAAGAAGTTATAAAATATTTAGAAAAAAATGCGCCTGGTTTGCTGAATTTTTCTTTTTTATTTATTTTTATATGTAGTATTTAAATAAATAGATCTAGTAAAAATAGCTCGTAAAAATTATGGATGTTTTGAAAAATATAGTGATGAACATCAATATGGCATTTGTGCAGCAACAAATCTTAATTCAAGTTGTGAAAAAGAAGCTATTAAAGTATTAACAAAAATGTTAGAACGACATGCTCAACTCATTGCCAAAGAGAAAACAGATAATATGGAAGTTGATGAAAGTTTTTATGCTATGGAAAATGCAAAAATAGTTCGTGAAGCTGAAAAATATTATCGACATATGTTTGAAGGTGGTCAAATAACATGGAATATTCGTGATACACATATGTGTGATTGTTTACAAGATTTACTTAACCATTGTGGACCTGGAACTAAGGCTGTTATTTGGGTAATTATAATTATAAAACTTTCTTTTTTCTTGCTTGAGTTTTATGAAAAAGAAAATACTATTTGATAAGAAAGAATTTGATCAATTATTATATTCTTCTAGGCACATAATTCGCATGTTGGTGATGCTCGTGAAACGGAATCAAATCGAGCACGTAAAATTAACATTGGTCAATTAGTTCGTGAACGTTTTGGTATAGAAAATACTTATAATATTGGATTTACAACATATACTGGAACTGTTACAGCAGCTGACAGTTGGGATATGGATCCAGATTTTAAACATGTACGACCATCATTAAATGAAAGCATTGAATTTCTTTTACATGATGCTCTTATAAAAAATTCAACAATGTCTTCTGATGGTCAATATTTTCTTCTCTTTCGTTCAAATAATTCATCCGTTGAAATTTCAAAAGAATTAAATAATGAATTACATAAAAAACGATTAGAACGTGCTATCGGTGTTATTTATCGTCCACATACAGAACGACAATCACATTATTTTAATGCAAGTATTTCAACACAATTCGATTGTATTATTCATGTAGAAATGACACGTGCGTTAAGACCATTAGAAATTCATCCTACATGGACACAAGCAGAAAAAGATCATGTACCAGATACATTTCCTATGGCTGTTTAATTGAAATTTGTCTGTTGTTTTTTTCTTTCTTAAACTAGTCTTTCTTTTGTTGTAAACAATGTTAATCTCGCGAATTTAGATATTTTGTTTCTTTTCTAATAAACAAGCATGATTGGATATCAAGGGAATTATACTATTTTTTGTTCCTAGTTTTATAAAACATGATTATTTTAATATAAATTGAAGTTCTATATACATGGTGATGTCCTAAAATTCACTTAATAAAAAAAATTTGAATATCTCCAGCATGTTTTGATCAAATTAGTTAATCGATGAGAAGACGATAGATTTTGAAAATTTTATACCTACAAGGGACAATATATAGTGATAGTGAAATTTTTTATATGCAGTAGTTGAAGTGTGAGCCTTGGTTGGATTAAGATTCAAATCAGAAATGGATAATTAAATTTTATTGATAAGGTGGGGTTCTATGTGGAGGAAGCAGTAGATTCGAGCGTCGGTAGATTTCTGAATTTCAAGAGATTTTTTCGGACTTTTCGTTTTGCTCTTACAACTTTCTGATTGTTTTTGATTGAAATCCGCTAATTTGCTCTGTTGAACCCTACGGAAATATATTCAGTACAAATTCAATAGCTCGGTTAACATGCAACAAGAACATGAACTCTTTGGAAGTTGTTCTGACCTGGTGGTCGACTACTAATAATCAAAATATGAACTCAAGAGTCTCTAATCATTTGGGATCATGATTGAACTTCGGTCGCAAAGAGTCACGATCGTCAAAATAACCATATGTCCTGTACTACTGTTAACTGGTTAGATGTTTCATAACACAAATGGCCTCATTTTCTTGCATAGATCCATTATCTGCAACTAATTTTATATGCATTTAGTGACGTACACAAATCACGCATAACATAACTATAATGAATATTTTAAGCAATAAATATGACAAAATAATGTCAAGCTTTAAATGTATGACCCTTGTCGTTTTGTTTCGAGGTATTAACAGGAATATATTTGTTGAAAATTAAATCTTATATTAGATTTACTTTTGACAACATCTTTCAAGTTGCAGTTGAATTGTCCATTATTCGCTTGATTAGATAAAATTTGTAATATAATATTAAATTGATTTTGTTTTATTCCATTTTGCTTCAACACACTCTTGTTGCTTTTACGCATAGATCTTTCGTCAATAATGTATATAGTTTACGTACAGAGCACCTAACAAACTAGAATCAATTTTCGTAACTACTAAAAACCTTGGTCACGCCAGTCAGTAGAGAACAGTGATACCTTTGAATGTTACTCATCAATTTCTTCCATACGAATAAAAACTCGGATCTTTCCTCTATCAACAGAAAAAATAATCAGCTGATTTTTAGGACAACCTATACATATATCAAGTAGTGTCCTGCACTCCGGTTGGATACTCGGCATTCGATCCGGGTTGGAGCATGGGTTCGCGTATGAGATCATAACCGAATTCAACCTGACAATTAATAAGATCTCGACATTTTGAAATATTTTTGCTTTTTCAAACTGCTAATCTATATCAAAGCATAAGAGAGTGAAAATCGGTTCGATCATGATGAATCCTATGACGAAGTAATTTAATACATGACAAGAAAAATGAATAATCCAAAATGTAAACATGTATTATCGTCATGTGGAAAAAGCATTAATGTATGTGTCCTCAATTATGACGTTTGGCACTAAACATTGCGTTCCATTTCAGCGTTATCAACAACAAGCAAACATATATTTAGTGGAATTGATCGAATATGAGAAGATCTCTTTTGTTTTTGTTGATGTTTATGGAAGAAATTTAATAGTATACTTTTCCATATAAAATAAATGTTTGAAAATTGTACTATAATTGTTAAAGTATTTGCTGGGTGTCGATTAGTTTCAGTTCAAGTCTAGTTGCGATAAGTCGTACCCGTGCAGGACACTTCTACCAGGAATGTTTGGTCAATTTCTTATGAAGTGCATGATGAAAACATGTAAGAATTTAAGAATTAAAATATCTATTAGCTTTTCATTGAATAGTCGCGATTTGTTAAGTTATTATAAAATCATTGAATACTAGAAATATATATATGTATATTTAGATTCTAACTAAAATTTATCATCAATTAGACTTGGTAATCTTGTCATTTATGATTGAAGAACGTTTGAAACTTTGACGTTATTTAAATAATAATTCTGCAATACTTTGATAAAGAAAACTCTTAAATAATGAAATTTAATTAAAAACAGAAAAACAAAACAAGGTATTGATTTCTATATTGGATCTATCTTTATTTCAAGATGTTTAGAATCTTTATTAATTAAACATCTTATCGTTTGATATTTACATTTTATCAACGAGAACCAACAAATTTAGCCATTTCATATGGATTTCTGGCTGTAAAAAATAATATTTCTTTTCGACCTTCTTCTTCTCGACCGTGATAATTTTGTATCCAATTACGATCAATATAATATCTGTATTGATTATTAAATTCATTTTCAGTATATTTTTCTACTTGAATTGGTACAAATGGTTCAAGTGCTTCAATACCCTAGTAAAAGAAAAAAACATGAAAAACATCATTTAATCATTCCTCTCTTTTCTTTTCTTTTTTTTTCCTAAACAATAAAAACCAACTTACTTCAGTTCCTAATAATGATTTAACAGTCATTGGTCCATCATACATAAGAACACCTGGTAGACGATGTTCTGTACGAAAATGTCCATGTCTAACAAGCCAATTATGCTTTTCACGTACTTTAGGTATAATAATACCTTTTGGTCCAATAGTAACAACAATAAAAGCATTATTCCAATCAGGTAATAATAATTCTTGTAAAGCTTTTACCATTGTTACTTCATTTGGTTTTACCTTTAATATAAACTATATTTCAGAACAAAAAAAGAAAAAAAAAAGGCACATTTCATACAATTGATTTATCAGGTTTAACAATCCATGTTGGTCCATAATAACTATTTATAGTATCGAATGTTACTAATGTTTGAATACTAATTATAAATTAAAAAAAATGAAAGTTTTCTTTTTTTTTTTGTATTTATTTACGAATATTAATTTACTTTTTTTCTCTCACTTGAGCTTTAACTTCTTTAACAATAGCACCAACACATTCTGATGCATATTTTATTCGATCAGTTGCCTAAATAATAATAAATTTTATTGTTTATGAATTATTTTAATAATTAACTTACATAACCAATAAGATCAAGAAGATGTGTTCCAGCTGGTGTCGATTCTCGAGCACTCCATGTATAAGTAAATTTTGTACGAAACTAAATTAAATTAAATATAAATCTTTTAATCAATATGAAATATTTACAGTATCGACAATTTGAAACTTGAGGAAAATTTTTTTTGTTATGATTGGATAGAGCTCGTCGAATTATCTTTTCTTTGACATATGCAGCCGATGTTTTTGTTGTGAAAATTAGTTTTAAAAAAGTCAGAAAAGCAAATAAAAATTGAAATACGCCAAACACATCAAGTCTCAATATTGATCTGATATTTTTTTACTCTTGATATATTTAGAACATGCTTTTTGAAAAATATTATTTGATTGTTGAGAGAATCGATTTTTTCGACATAAACAGCAAAAGCACCATAAAGACGGGTTTGTATTCAGAATCAGCACAAAAATCTGCATCAAATAGTATGCTTAATCATCAACAGTAATTTTCGTCAAACTGCAGTTCCTACACCTCTAGCTATTATTTTCGAATAATCCAGCCTGTGCTTCCCCAGACGAGGATTGTTCTCCAATTAAAAATTCGCTTTTGAGCCGAGATGTAAATTAGCGATGCAAAAAATATTTATTATAGTAGTATCATGGGACAGGAACAGCGACAAGACCTGAAACATTTACAATAAGTTACTCTCATTAAGGTTTGTTTCTAATGCAAAGTTTTTTAGTCGAAGTTTAAAAATCAGTTTTTTCTGGTGTTCTTGAGTGGGACTACAACACTCATGTAAAAAATATCGTAAAAGTGTTGTTTCTTCACATTGATAAGCTAATGGTACGAACTCTTTGTAGAGTATTTATAGCTCATTTGGAACTACATAATGTACATAGCCTCGACTCAAAGACAATTTATCAGTTGGAGGACTTCTCTCGTTAGGGAAAGCACAGGTCAGATTATTCGTAAATAGCAGCGAAAGGGTGTGAGGACCGAAATTTGACGACAATTACTTTCAAGTAGCAAGTGTACTACTATTCAATGCAGATTTTTGTGCTAATTCTGAATATGATATTCGTCCCTGTTGGAACTGAAGTTTTGATCGTAAAAGCCTCTGAATACGAACCTGTTTTTATTACTGTTTTGCTATCATATCGATCAAAAAAAAACATTTTCTCAACAATCAAATAATATTTTTCAAAAAACATGTTCTATATATCTCAACGGTAAAGAAAAATTCGGACAAATATTGAGACTTGATTGTTTTGGCATATTTCAATTTCTATAAACTTTTCTGTTTTTTTTTTAAACCTAAATTTCATTAAAAAACCATCGTCTAAATATGTCAAAAAAAATGGTAATTCGACAAGCTATATCCAATCGTGACAAAAAAGTTTTGCTCAAATTTTGAGTTGCCAGCATCTTACATCTGTTTCTCTAAGTATTGCTTCATTATTAATTGCAAATGTTTTAAGCCAAGTACTAGCTGCTGAAGGTGTATCCCACATTTGTTCATTATTTGGTGATGGTGTTGCATCTAATGCTAATTTAAGAACTTCGGCCGCTAGAGATAAATACAAGCAAAACAAAAAAAAAATTATTTTTTGGAAATAAAAAATATAAATTCAGCTACCTGTTGGTGTATTAACAAGTAACATTTTCTTACGATAACCGTAATGTATTACATGAAATAGACATAAACTCATTCCAACACCAAGTTCAGCAGGAACTTAAGGAGGAAAAAAAATATTAAACAATATTCAACAATGAAATACTTACAAAGTACTACTTTTAATGGAGGTAAATTCCAATTAATTTGTTTTATTAATTTAATAATATCAAGTGATGGTTGTCGAATCATAATAGCTGTTTCATTAAATGCTTCACACTACAAAAACAAAAAGAACTTTCCTTTAAATTGCAATGCAAAAAAGAAAAAGATTCATTTTACTTCTTCCCGAAATTGTAATGGAAGTGCTTTGCCAAATGGACTAATTTTTTTAAAATCATCAGAATTAACTGTATAAAATAACCCTAAATCTTTTTCTGTATGTAAAGTCTTAAAAATAAAAAATTCAAATTTCAAAAAGCTAAATTTCTTTGTTTTTTGTATTCATACAGGATCATCTATTGATGTTCGAAATGGTTGTTCAGCTTTTGTTTCAATCGGTTCTTGAGGTATTGAATGAACATCAATAGTACGCGGAGCTGAATTTGCATAAAATCGATAGAATGGTCGACATGCTAAACGAGCACGTATCAGACAAGATGATATCAATGTCATTTAGTCTATAATGAATATAAAACTATTTTTTTATATTCAAACAACTTTTCAATTAGATTCTCCATCCAACAAATCAATGGACTATGTTTTAACCAATCCATTACGTAAGTTATCTGATTGGTTACTATCATCTACATTAGAATTATTTTTTCTTGTTGTTTTTTTAAATGTCTTTAGTCTATTACATTTGTTCCTTTTTTTTTTGTTCGAAAGCTTCTCTTTTATTTTAATGTATATATAGATTTATATACTAGATAAATAATGGATTCGGAATCACAAGATACAATAAAAAATGATTCGTCATTAACTAGAAAATTAATTTCTTTACTTCAACGTCTTTTATATGATATATGGACAAGTCCAATAAATCTTCTTCTTGCTATTTTAATTATATGTTTACTCGTTAGATTATTTTTATTAAAACGCAAATCATCAAATAATGCTAGTCGAAAACAAGCACAAGTACAATTACCAAAAATGCCTAAATGTGATTTCACAGTACCAGAATTACGTGGTTATAATGGTATTGAATCAAATGGAAGAATTCTTACAGTTGTTTATGGAGATGTATTTGATGTTAGTCAACGAAGTGATCTATATGGAATAGGTACATTGAATTATTTTAAAAAAATATTTAATTGAGATTTGAGCTTTTCACTAGTAGAAAAAAATGATGACAAGAGCAAGGAAGTACAATGGTCGCAAAAAGTCCCTAAACTTTAATCCTTGACCTTCATAGTTTGACGGAAAATACAGCATGTTGAACTCTGATCACAAGGACTAATTGATCAGCCTACATGCGGAGGAGCTAGAAAGTTGACATAGATTGTTTTTTCTTTAGACGACAATACCTCAACATAGAAAACAAATTTTATGATGTTAGATCCCTCATTCAACAGCTCAATGCTGCTTCCATCATCAATAAAAATTTCATGTCATGCAGTTTTAGTTTGCCTGATTTATGAAGTATTATTTGAATGATTTCCACATGAGAATTAAGGAGAATCGTCGAAAAAGTGACCGATATATAGAAAGGAGATCCATGCCAAGACTGCCACCGACAATGGAAGTTTCCTAGCGCCTCAAAATTACAGCGGATTGAGGTATCGTATCTGTAATATAATATAGAGATGCGAGCCTTTATTTGTTAAGAAGAAAATGGAGGTTAATGTATTTAAATAGTAGAAAACCAGAAAAGAGTCAAAAAAGTTTTTGTTTTTGCATTCCAGTGAAAAAAACTAATGTTTCATTGTAAATCCTTTGGATTAAGGTCTATTGACCTCGATTTGCTACTTGCGATCATAATTTACCGAGCTCTATTTGTGAGCAAAATATTAGATAAAAGGATTGAAGTTTATGTCATTTTTACTCGATAACAGGGTTATCTACGGTCACTGTGACCTATTAATATAAAATAAAAAAATCGTATATAGTTGATCAGTCTATGAGAACAATGATACTCTTATGAGAGAACGTTTTTAATTGATCGATCTCTTTTGTATTCAGACTCTGCATGAGGTAGAATCCAGTGAGATAGGAAAAACCTCCAAAAGGTAAATCTTCTTAGACTTTCTGTTCAGAGTTACAAGCATTTTACTAAAATTTTAGCCTCTGGCATCGTATATACCAACAAATCGAATAATAGGATTTCAAACTGAGATTTTTCCTATAGACAGGTCTATTTGTCAGTAGAATGGACTGAAAATTTTTGTTCAAAAGAAAATTTTCCTCTCGAGATATTAAAGTGCGAAAAATCACTTATATTTCACGAAAGATCTTAGAATTTTCTGCTTTTTGAGACTTTAATATCTCGAAAAGGAAACCGTCATTTGAGTTGACATTTTCAGGACATTCTACTGATAAATAGACCTATTTATGGGAAAAACATTAGGTCAATAAATCATCATTCGATTTGTTAGTATATACGATGCGAGAGGCTAACATTGTAGTAAAATGCTTATAACCCTGTACTGAATGCCTAAGAGGATTTATCCTTTTATATTTTTTTCGTGTGTCAATGGAATCTTCATTGTGTATAAAGCCCAAGTTCAAAAATGATTGATTAGTTGAAAACATTTTCTTGTTAGAAATATATCTACAAGAATAATAATTAACAAGATATTGAAGATAGATACGACAGGATGGAAACTTTATCATGACTGTTTTGTCTTAATTCATACAAAAGAGTATGATCTTTTCATTTTGTTTTATAATTAAGCTTTTTCTTTATCTATCGAAATTTTATTATGAATATAGGCGGATCATATTCATTATTTGCTGGACGTGATGCTACACGAGCATTATCTAAAATGCAATTGGATCCATCATTATTTTCAAATGAATATGATGATCTTTTTGATATTACTGATAAGGAACGAGCTACAGCTAGAAGTTGGCATGAAGATTTTCGAGGTAATACTTTATTGATTAATAAATAAAAAATTACAATAATCTTTCTTTTTCTTATTTATTTTTCTTTTCAAGAAAAATATGATATTGTTGGACATCTTCTAAAACCAGGAGAAAAACCAAGTGTTTATCCACCTGAAGATACAGCTGTTGATGGTGGTTATAATATAAGTGACAAGAAAAGAGAATGAACATATATTTTATTTTTGCAATTTGTTTGTTCTTGATGTTTTCATATAATCGACAAAAGCTCTTTCATTTCAAAAAAAAAATAAGAAAAATAATATACTTCTTTCTTTCATCTTTCTTAAGTGATAGTTCAACTTTCTTTTTTTTTATGTTAGTTATTTAGTTGATAATACTTAAGAGGTTCGCAAGACACATACAATCACATTTTATTTATTATTGAGTTCTTAACAAGCTTTATTTTTTTTTTAATTAAAAACAACAAGTATGCATTTATCGCTTCATAATCTAGTTTTAGTTGATCATCTTTGTAAGGTCTATTCATTTAAATAGTTTTATTTTGTTTAAGATTGATACTTTTTGCTGCTAAAACAACAATTATTAATATAAATGCATAAATCAGAGGTATCATTTTTATTTATTTGAATAGAACAATTTTCAAACATAAATTTTTTCTTTAGCTAGACATTACCATTATCAATATTGGATACAAAGAATAAATTATTTGATAAAATTGATGAACATGAACGTTGTGATATAATTATATCTAATTTTCTCTTCGATGATTTATTTGCATCAAATGACGCACTTTGCATTACTCATGTATGTATCTATATAAATAAATAAATAACAAAAGAAAAAAGATTGAAGAATATAAAATTTATGACCTATTCTAGCTTGATTCTGTTTCGGTACAATCGTCTAAAGTTACTCATCAACGACCATCATCAAATAGTGGACGACAAAATAATCGTAGATTAGGATCAACAAATAGTTCACGAAATTCTAAAAGGTTTTTTTTT